TTGTTTGAAGGCTGAGCTGACAAGATTTACTGATGGATTCAATATGAGGATGTGAGAGAAAGAGAGGGGTTAAAAATCACTCCAAGGTTTTTTGGTTTAAGCAGCTGAACAGAGTTGCTGTTAATGTGGAGGAGCAGCCTGGAGAGGGGAGAAGGTAGGTGAGGAATTTGCTTTTGGATGTGTTTGGTGTGAGATTCCCATTAGACACACAAATGGAGACACCAGTGAGCAGATTGTAGACACCAGCCTGTAGTTAATGGAAGGTGTGGGATGGAGATATATGCCCAGGAGTCATTGGCCTACGGATGACATTTAAAGCCACAGACAGACTGGGTGAGATCACCTACGGGATACAGAGAGAGCGAAGAAACTTGAGGACTGGGGCCTGAGGTGCCAGTGTCCACTTGTCATCTGGCCCAAGAAGTTGGAAGCAATGACAGCCAAATGGCATATGTTGGTCAGGGCCCAGTCAGGAGACAGGACCACACAGTAACTTGACAGAGAAAGTTTAATGTAGATAACATTGGGGGTTTGAGTCATGAGGTATTGGCTAGTAAGAAGTAAAGAGAACTCTGAAAAATATAGAAACGATAGATATAAGGAACAGCCACTACCCCTAGGGCTATGGTAAAGGGCCCGAGGAAAAGCCCTGGCTGAGATCCAGACCCTATTGCTCACTGGATGCCAAAGTCACTATGGTGCCACATTGGTAGAATTTGCTGGAAATTTTTCATCCAGAGCTTACCAGAAATCCACCCTCTGGGGTGCTAGGGAAAGCTTTTCATGAAGAAGTGTCTTGCTGGAGGCACCCGCTTTGAAACTGCCTAAGGGGATTGCTGGGGGAAGCTACTGGCCTTTGGGTGCTGCTGGCTGCTGTGCACTGCAGGAGCCTGATTCTATAGAAGCCACCTGTGCTGCAGGAACCTAGCACTGTAGCAACTGAACGGAGGTCTGCTGAGAAAGCATGATGGAAGCAAAGTCCCTTACTCCTGAGATGTCTCTCCAGAGTCTACTGAAATGCCTACTGACAAAGCATCTCACCAGGCCAGGTGGCAAAAGAAAAGATGTCAGGAGGTCAGATCCATTTTCGCAGAGTAGGCAACCAAGGGTGAATTTGGAGCAGAGGCAATAAATTGATCACTGGCACAGGGTGGATGTAGGTCTGGCTGAACAGAGGCACCAAGGCCAGATGGGGGCAGCCCTAGTGTTGCTGCCCCCTGAGAGGTGTGTGTGGCTTTGCACATGGAGATGAGACAGGGAGTTAGGAGCCCCTAGAAGCAGGAGTGCAGGTGACTGGTGAGTGCAAGGTAGGCAGGCCCGAGGCTGTGAGCAGGGCAGCCTGAAGGTGCTCGGATTGCTGGCTGGGGTCTAGGCAAGGCAGAATACGTAAAGACGTGCTTCCTGTTCTCTGAAAAGGGCTTCTTAGGGTGAGGCCAGCAGCAAACAGTTCCTCCTATGCAATATGTGCCCCAGTGGGGCGTGCCCAGGGTGCTGGTCAGAACTGCGCCTTGGCTGACTCCTGTGCCTGCTTGGTGCTATGTCTTGCACTCTATGCCATAGTAATACTCAACTCCAGGCAGATCCCCAAACTTGTCATGCTCTCTCCAGCTTCTTGGTTTTTGCACACTCTGTTGCCTCTACTTGGAACACTTCTTCCTTTTTAGTATGGCTAATTCATCATGCTTTGCATCGCTGCTGGGACATCACAGCTTTCAGGAAGCTTTTAATGATGCACCAGTCTGGGTTGGGCCTCTCTTCTCTACACTATGGCACTGGTTCTACTCTTAACACAGCACTTAGTACATCGAGTCATAATTGNCTTCTTAGGGTGAGGCCAGCAGCAAACAGTTCCTCCTATGCAATATGTGCCCCAGTGGGGCGTGCCCAGGGTGCTGGTCAGAACTGCGCCTTGGCTGACTCCTGTGCCTGCTTGGTGCTATGTCTTGCACTCTATGCCATAGTCATACTCAACTCCAGGCAGATCCCCAAACTTGTCATGCTCTCTCCAGCTTCTTGGTTTTTGCACACTCTGTTGCCTCTACTTGGAACACTTCTTCCTTTTTAGTATGGCTAATTCATCATGCTTTGCATCGCGCAAAAGAAAAGATGTCAGGGGGTCAGATCCATTTTCGCAGAGTAGGCAACCAAGGGTGAATTTGGAGCAGAGGCAATAAATTGATCACTGGCACAGGGTGGATGTAGGTCTGGCTGAACAGAGGCACCAAGGCCAGATGGGGGCAGCCCTAGTGTTGCTGCCCCCTGAGAGGTGTGTGTGGCTTTGCACATGGAGATGAGACAGGGAGTTAGGAGCCCCTAGAAGCAGGAGTGCAGGTGACTGGTGAGTGCAAGGTAGGCAGGCCCGAGGCTGTGAGCAGGGCAGCCTGAAGGTGCTCGGATTGCTGGCTGGGGTCTAGGCAAGGCAGAATACGTAAAGACGTGCTTCCTGTTCTCTGAAAAGGGCTTCTTAGGGTGAGGCCAGCAGCAAACAGTTCCTCCTATGCAATATGTGCCCCAGTGGGGCCGTGCCCAGGGTGCTGGTCAGAACTGTGCCTTGGCTGACTCCTGTGCCTGCTTGGTGCTATGTCTTGCACTCTATGCCATAGTAATACTCAACTCCAGGCAGATCCCCAAACTTGTCATGCTCTCTCCAGCTTCTTGGTTTTTGCACACTCTGTTGCCTCTACTTGGAACACTTCTTCCTTTTTAGTATGGCTAATTCATCATGCTTTGCATCGCGGCTGGGACATCACATCTTTCAGGAAGCTTTTAATGATGCCCCAGTCTGGGTTGGGCCTCTCTTCTCTACACTATGGCACTGGTTCTACTCTTAACACAGCACTTAGTACATCGAGTCATAATTGCTAGTGCACCTGTCCAGCCATCAGACAGGTCCGTAAGCTCTTCAAGGACAAGAGCTGAATCTCGATTCCTTTCATTTTCCTAGCATTATGCCTGCCATGTAGTAGGCACTTATCAAATGTTTGTTGAATGAATAAATAAAAGATGAGAGGCCCAGAGTGGGGTGCATGGAGGGAATGGCAGGGAGAAGTGTATGGGCAGATCACACAGAGATTGCATGCCATGTGGAGGAGCTGTTTCTGAAAGGCAATGGGGAGCCATTGAGGGCTGGAAGCAGGAGAGAGCCATGATCAGTTTTCTATGAGAGAAAAGCCTCTCTAGCAGCATTGTGATGAATGACTTAGATGGGGATAAGAGTGAGGACAGAAACACCAGGGGATCCCTGCAGTGATCCCAGAGGACATGGGGGTGGGGTGGGACCTGGAGAACAGGTGGAAGTGTTCACCTTGTGATGGAGTTTGGATGTGTCGTCCCCTCCAAAACTCATGTGCAAATTTGACCTCCAATGTGGCAGTGTTGGAAACTGATTGAGTCATGGGGGCGGATCCCTGATGAATGGATTAATGCTCTCCCTGGGGGAGGGGGGAGTAATGAGTGAGTTCTCACTCTATTAGTTCCTGTGAGAGCTCGTTGCTTAAAAAGACCCTGGCACCTTCTCTCTTTTTCTTGCTTCCTCTCTCTTGCTTCCTCTCGTCATGTGATCTGCTTGTACCTGCCAGCTGCCTGCCACTTTCTGCCATGAGTAGAAGCAGCCTGAGGCCTGTGTCAGATACAGCTGTCCCAGAATCGTAAGCCAAATAAACCTCTTTCCTTACAAATTACCCAGTCTCAGGTATTTCTGTTATAGCAACACAAATCGGACTAAAACACCTTGGTCAGGGCAAGAGCACCTCTGAGGTGCAAGATGATGCCCGGAGCAAAGTGGGCCGCTTGGCACTTGTTTTCAGAGCCTTTGCTATATGTCTCCTGTGCCTTGCAGAATTGGGAGCCTCCCAGGGAAGGGCCTGAGCCCTCTTTCCTCAGTGCCTCTCCTGTGCCCAGGACACCAGCTTCTGCCCTTGGCAAATCCTTAGTAGAGTGGGCTGATGAGACCTAGGAGGTGACCTCCCCTACCCCCAGTGAGATCCAGAAGGAGAAGCCAGAGTCCTCATGAAGTTAGCTTGGCAAGTTTATTGAAAGCCCAGGAACACAAAGAACAGTACAAGGAGGCACCCCAGCCCACCCCAGGCCTCCTTGGAGTTTGCAGACATACCCCACTGACAGGGGTAGGGGCACATGGAGTACTGCAGAGCCCACCTCTCCTCCTGCACCCCACCCACCTTGTGGACTTGTATGCTGGGGTTAAAGCAATAACCCAGGAAGAGAAACAGCCAGAATATAAGCCACTGGGAGAAAAACCATCTCAGGACTTAGGGATTACTGGGCCACCAAGGACTGTGGATCCTTCTGGGTCAGGAAGAGAAGGAAAGAAGCTTCTCCTGCCAGGGAAAAGAAGAAGGAGGAAGCAAAAGCCTGCAGTATGGCCAATCAGCTCTCCATTCTCCAAATTAACCCAAAGCCACCGATAGTGGTGGCACCCAAGCACATTTTTTTTTTTTTTGGCTCTGAACTGTTCCTTTTTTTTTTTTTTTTTTTGTCTTTTTCGTGACTGGTAAGGGGATCACAACCCTTGGCTTGGTGTTGCCCATACCGCGCTCAGCCAGTGAGCACACCGGCCATCCCTATATAGGATCCGAACCCGTGGTGGGAGCGCCACTGCGCTCCCAAGCGCCGCACTCTCCCGAGTGCGCCACGGGGCTGGCCCGAACTGTTCCTTTTTTCCCCAAACACACTGGTTTTTATAATTGCATGGAATCTGCATTTCTCAAGGCCATTGCTGGATGGTGAGGAGTGATCCAAAGGAAATTAGAGTCAGGGAGAAGCCATACTGGCTAGGGCTGCAGATGGAGCATCTACATGGTGAAAATGTCCTTCCAGAGTACACAGCCTGGGCAGAGCAGCACCTAGGAGAACAGAGGGTTGACTTCCTGGCAGGAGGGGTTGCTAGACAGCCCTCAGGCCCAGAGTGCATGTGCCTCAGGGGACAGATGCAGGAGACGTTGAGCTGGTTCTCTGGGCAGTGGCTGTCTGGGGCTCGTTGCTCAGTGCTTGGTCTGGCAGGAGGTGGTGGTGGACACAAAGCGGATGCTGGAGCTGCGGACACTGGAGCTATGACCACCACTGCAGTTGCTGAAGCCCCCCTCAGTGGGCAAGGAGCAGCGAACACTGGGGACGCAGGCCTCATCCACAAACACGGAGCCTGCCCTGGCGCCAGTGCTCAGCAGGACCCTGTCGCTGGTGGCGCGGATGCCGCTGCCTCCGGAGAAGGTGACTCCGCCTTGGGAGAGGGTGGAGCTGGTGACAAGGGGCTCAAGCCCGCACACCACACCGCCCCGGGAGCTGCTCACAGCTGCAGGAGGAAGAAACAGTCAGAGAAGGTGCAACTCCAGGGGACCGGTCCTCCATGCCCCCACTGGGGAATATACCTGGGGGGGGGGTCTGGTGGCTGGGAAAGGCAGGGCTAGGGTTGGGGTCTGTGGCATCTGGGGAAATGGTCCCTATTGTCTACACAGTCGGTATCCACTTTCCCCTTCTCATGTCTGGATGGCTCAAAGACTGTGGCTACACTGAAATCAAACATCCAGATTAAAATGGAAGAATCCAGCCAGTTCTCCAGATTTCTGCATCCACTGACTATCATTTATGTATGGCCAAAGGTGGATTGGGTTGTGTGAGGCAGGTAGTGAGCTGGATTATCCAGACAGCTGGAGCAGTAGCCTCCAGAAAGCCAGGGGGTGTTTCTCCTCCAGTTACATCATACCCCTTAGTGGTCCCCACACTTCCCCTAGACCAGCACAAAAGAAACTCCTCCACTACTAGTCCTTGTCAATTTTCTCCTGACCCACTGGTGGCTGTGCTCTATAGCCCCCTGGTTTCCACTGGGCATTTCCCCACATACCAGGACTCTAATCCAACTAAACCTTGATTAGACCAGCTGCATCTGCAGAGGGGCACACTCTTTTCTGCTCTCCTGAATCCTTCCTGCTATCTGTGATCTCCACTCAGGCTTGACCTCCTGCACAAAGTCAGGGCTCGCTGCCACCCTCTCTGTGGGCACTCACCTCTGACACATGTAGCTGTGGCTGTCTGACCCATCCAGTTTTAGCACACAGTTTCACCATGCATTGGTGTATGTTTGTGTTTTTGGAGTTAGAAATCTGGATTTGAATTCTGGCTAGCTTTGACTTCTGGCAACTCATATATTTTCTCTGAGTGAGCAAAATGGGGATGCCCATGCCTGCTCTTCCTCCCAGGGACCTTTCCAGAATTAGGTTGTCAGTGGCTGGGACTCAGCTTCTCAAGAAGATTGTGATTCTAGAGAGCAGGGGCTGGACCTTGCCTTCCTTGTGCCCCCACCTTGCAGTACCCAGCAAAGTGCCCTGCATGTGCTGGGCACAACCAATACTTTGACTGTCTGGTAGCAGTAGCAGGGGGACTTCCATTCAGCCTTGTCCTTTTCCCTGCCACCAGAGGACAAGAGACCTCCCTGGCACAGGCCTTTCCATATCTTCTGAGTCCTTGAGATGGTTTCCTTGAAGGACAAGTCCTCTCAAAGCAAATGGGCTGACTCTCTTCGGGAACCCTGTCCCACCTTGTAGGTCCTACAAATCTTTGTGAATGCTTTGCTCAAGGGAAGGCAGGTGCTGGAAACATCTCAGACCTCAGCTAAGGAGTTGCTCCCAGTCCAGGGCCCACATGGTCCCTGCTCCCCTGAGTGTCTTGGCCAGACCTGCCCTCTCAGGAGCCTCCTGACCTCAGTGTGTGCCTGAGTTTAGAGGAAATTTGAAGAGGAGAGAAATGTGTGAAGAGGAAAAGATTTAAGCTTCTTACATATGTTTACTGGTCCAACACCTTCACAGATCCTGGAGAGAGAAAGAAACAAAGCAGTTCAAAGCACTGTTGTTCCCTGAAAACCTTCCTGCTATAAAAAGAGCTTTCTGGTCTGAGTGGACCAGAGGACCAGTGCTTCTCACCTCTGGCTGTATACACGTCTGGGAACCACTGAAAAACTACAAGTTCCTAGACCCCTTCCCCAGACTATTGAATTAAAATATTTGAGAAAATGTATTATTATTATTATTTATTAGTTTTAACAAACTAACCAAGCAAAACTCCCTATGATTCTGGTGCTGCTTATCTACAAACTTGTGTTTGAAAGGCACAAATCTAGAGCCTTTTTCTAATCCCCTGACAAGCGCAACCCGACTAATGTTTGCAGAAGAGGTGCTGCCACCTCTAGAGATTGCTCATCTCAGCAGTTTTTCACCTGGTCCCCTCACCCCACTTGGTCTTCCCAATGCCTAAGTCTGACTTCGCTCCCTCCTGCTGCACTGAGAGTACTCACCGGATCTCCTCGCCCTCCAGCAGACGCCTGTAGGTGGCGATCTCGATGTCCAGGCCCAGCTTGGCATTTAGGAGCTCCTGGTACTCGCGCAGCTGCAGTGCCATGTCCTGCTTGGCCTGCTGTAGGGCACCCTCCAGCTCCGCCAGCTTGCACTTGGCATCATTGAGGGCCGCTTCGCCCTGCTGCTCCGCCTCGGTCACTGCGGCCTCCAGCTTGCAGCGCTGCAGGGAGGGCAGTGCGCAGGTGGGCTTTAGTAGTGGCCTGGTGATCCCCAGGTGGGGTTAGAAACACTGCCTCCTCTTAGTGGGGGCATAGACTGGTGGCTGCTTTCCCAGGAATTGGCGATCCTGTAGTTGAATGTCACCAGGGGACGGAACATTGCTTTTCTTCAGTTTCCATCCCCACTGGTTTTACCCTTCCTGATTTCTGCTGCCCTGAGACCCACGGAGTCCAGAGAGTAAATCTCCTCTTTCTGCCTCACTTCTCCCTCTGTGTCTGCCCCAGACTTTTCTTTCTATATGGACGACTCTCCCTCCCTTCTGTATTTTCTTCCTCCAGGAAGCCTTCCTGGTCTAATCCCTCCATTCCTTTGTTTTTGGGTCTTGATGGTCTCTCTTACCTCATCAGATTTGGGATTCCTCAAAGCTAAGGGCCCTGCCTCTCCTCCCTCTTGGACTTTCTCACATTTCCTTTGCCTACCTGAGCCTTGGTGTGTTCAATCTCTGCCTTCAGCCTCTGGATCAGGCGGGTCAGTTCATTGATCTCATCCCGTGTGTTGCGCAAGTTGTCGCAATGTTGGCTAGCTGTCACCCGCATTTCCTCATACTGTGGGGGAGAGGGGTATACCAAGAGTTTAAAGGTTAGGTCACAACTATAGCCAACACTGAGTTAGGGGCCTCAGTCTTGCATTGGGCCCACTCTATTGCGTATGAGTCTTACCCAAGGGCTGCCTACACCCCTTCCCCAGCACCCCCTGCCCACCTTGGTCTGGTACCAGGCCTCAGCATCAGCCCGGCTGCGCCTGGCCACCTCCTCATACTGGGCTTTGACTTCAGCAATGACCCCATCAAGGTTCAAGTCCCGGCTGTTGTCCATCTTCACGATGACTGATGTCTCTGAGATGTGTGACTGCAGCAACTGGATTTCCTGTGTTGGAGAATTAGCAAGACAGATGGGCTCAGAGCCCCATTCAGTGGCTGAGACTCTGCCACAGGGTCCCCAGGACGAGGTGTTAGGAGCAGAGAGCATTGCTCATTGGTTCAGAACAGAGCAAGACCATCCAAACCAAGGGCAAAGAAAAGGTCACGGCTGAGAACCATTTCAGTTTGACTTTGCAACCCTTGTTATGTACTTGGAGGCATCCCTCTAACACCCTACCTTGCTTAGGCGAGTATTAAAACCATGGGGACCCAGGAACTGGGTGTAGGGGAATGGCAGCCGTGCGAGGGCTTAAACTTTTCTTTGGATAATCCACAAAGTGGCTGTGTTGGTCATGAGCCATTGAAAGCTGACTATTTTAGAACATGGGGAAATTCCTATATCTCAAGTACTTAACAGAACCAGGGGTCTTGGAACTGGCCTGCGAAGCGAGGACTCTAGAAGGAGCTTTCTTCAGCCTTTCCACTCAGAGCTAGAAATTCAGCTCTGACTGGATGTACACCAAACCAAACAGCTCACTTAAGGAGCAAAAGATAGCTAGCTGGTTTGATTAATTAGGTCAAACACATTTTTTTTTTTTTTTAACATCTCCTGGCAAATCCATTTTCCAGATTCTTCTGGCCGGAATATAGGTAGTGACTATCCTAGACTCCAGTTTTAGATTGGTCAATAAGGAGTTGGACCATAGATCCAAGGAGTTTATTCATAGACCTGAGTTAGGCTGCTGAGAAACCTGCTTCCTTACCTTGCCTTCTCCTTTTGCAAGTACATTGGCATGTAAAGCATATGGATTTGAGTAGGAGGAAAGATGTATGATACCAAATGTTTAAAAATTTGCCAGTCCAGACTAAGCCTTCAGGGAGTCCAGGCCAAGTGCTGATCTCCTTGAATGGCTTAGAGAAGAAGAGTCCTCACCTCCATGTATAAGGCTTTCAGGAATTCAATTTCCCGAGTTAGGGTATCCATGTTGGCCTCTAGATCAGACTTTTTCAAGAAAACTGTATCCACCTCCTGCATAAGAGAGGGAAAGATAAAATACTCATTACCCATGCACTGTTTAACCTTCCCATCAAGGCAGGCTCTGGAGATGGGTGGGAAGATCAGGCCATTTCCCACAGGCTTTTGGCATGGATGGTAAAGTCATTGGGTGGAAGTGAAGCTTAGTGTCTATTGTTCTTCTCTGTACTGCAAAACTCCTTCCACGGCTGCTGGGGCATTGGACATTTTCTGATGCTTATTTAGAGGCAAGGAAAATCTAGATAATCCAAGATACTTCAAAGGTCATCTCTTCAGACCTCTGTTCTCATGTGATCTGATCTTAAATAATATGAGACAAAATCAGAACTTTGTAGGGAAGCTGTTGTGATTTTAGGGGTTCTACTGTCCTGGTGTGAGTAGACCCAGACTCCACAGGGCTGCCTGGGCAGTTTCTCAGGGGGTCTTGAGAACACTTTCCTGTCTGGAGGAGAAGTTTGCCTGGACCCGGTGCTCTCTCTTACCTTCTTCAGAGCCACAAACTCATTCTCAGCATTGGCCCGGAGTCCTACCTCCTCTTCATACCTGGGATGATAAAGATTGAAAGGCTGAGTTCTCACTCTGAACAGAGAGCCAATGGCTTCTGCTGCCCCTTTGAATCTCTGAAGAACTCCCAGTTCCATCCAGGAGCATGGCTCCCTGCTGCTGTCCACCTGCTGTCATCCCCTTTGTCCCATCTTTAAGACCTTTTATGAGCCAATGGCCCTCAGTTTCTCAAATCCCTTTTATCTTCTCAATTTGCAGTTTGGGTCTGAAAATTTGGACCATTGCTATGCTCCTTTGTTGGAAATGACTTAAGGTCATTGCTCTTGACCACAGAGGAAGTGGAACCCAGCTCAATGCTGAACATGGGCACTGTTCTCAAAAGCAGAGGGATCCTTTTTCTTCAGGAGGCCTCCTCCTCCCATTCACATGTCATTGCCCCCACCCCATCCTCAGGCTGGGTATTGCAGCCAGCATCCAACCCTGATCCTTCCAGCTGCCCTCATCTGAGCTTGGCTGCTGTTTTTGGGACCAGCCCACACCCATCCTTGATGTGTACAGCCTAGATGTCACTCACTTCTTCTTGAAGCCCTCAAGGACTTCCTGCATGTAGTTTCTCTCAGCTTGGAGCCGGGCCTGGTCGCTGACCAGTGCATCCAGCTGCCTCCGCAGGTTGGTGATGTAGTTCTCAAAGAGGGGCCCCAGGTTACTTCTGGCACATTTCTGCTCTTGGAGGAAGCTCCACTTGGTCTCGAGGAGCTTATTCTGCTGCTCCAAGAATCGTACCTAAATCCACAGGGGCAAAGAAATGGAATTTGAAGTGCTTGCTAGGGTAATTCACATTGTGACCAGTTCTTCAGATGGCTAGTGATGACTCTCATGTGTTGACAGTGTTCTCTCCTCTGTTGACCTTCCTTCCTCCTTTAACTCAGCAGAAACCAGAAGGGCAGGTCTGCAATCCCCTCCTCATGCTCAGCCAGGCTTAGCTACAGACAGGCTTTTGAACCAAAGCACTTCAGTACCATTTCCCCTTCTGCCCTCTGAGAAAACTATAAGTCAGTTCATCGGGAAGTTGAAAAGATTGATTTTGCTTAAGCTGGTGTTTGCCTATATCTGGAAACTGATGTCAACCATCTCTGGCAGAGAATGAGGAGCAGAGTAAAGTACATTTGGGGTAGGATACAGTCTCAGGAGGTGGGAATTCTCTGATTGTAAGTGATACACGTCATCTCAGATATTTCAGAAGCTGAGACATGTAGCACCAGAAGAGAACTTAAAGATCATTTTCTCCACCCCCCTCATTTCAAAAATGAAGAAACTGAAGCTCCCAGAGGCCACTTTCTGTTCTCAGACACAATCGGAGCTTTACATCTCCATGCACACATGGTTTGTGGGATGTCAGCTCTTTGGGGTAATCCACATTGTTGTTCTCCACTTTCCTAAGCCTGAACCAGCCTGGGAAACTATGAAAACATCATAAAGAGCATAAAGACCTCAAAGGATAAAACCTTTTAAACATATACCAGCCAACACTTGGCTAATGTCTTAGTGTTTCCAGCCTAGTTAGGAGATATTCCCAAGTGACCAGATGGTAGGCTTTAATCTGCCCAGATGCTCTCAGATTTGGCTGGGATGTTCCTCTTACCTGTGGAAGACAAAACCCCTGTCTTCGTCTACTCCACCATCTAGTATTTCCTCAGCCTGGTCCTTGCTCTACAGTAGAGCAACCCAGAAATCACAGCACAATGCCTTTGGGAGACACCTGAAGGACCTAGGGTCAAGGTCAATGCCCCAGACCCGGGCCAGTTCTTTTTTTAGGAAAAGAGCACCCCAGCACATTTTAGCTCTCATCATCTCAGACCAAGAGATTCAGCGATCATAGGTACCTTGTCAATGAAGGAGGCAAACTTGTTGTTGAGGGTCTTGATCTGCTCCTTCTCATCCTTCTTCACCCTTTGGGCATTGGGGTCAATCTCCAGGTTGAGGGGGGTCAGCAGGCTCTGGTTAACAGTCACAGCTGTGATAGATGGGGCTGCTGGGATTCCAATTGCTCCAACTCTGTAGCCAAAGCCAGGGCCACTGAAGCCATAGCCAAGGCCACTGCCAGCCCCAAACCCCAGGCCAACACCACTGCTGTCACCAAAGCCGGCTCCACAGCGGATAGGACGGGGGCCTACGGCTGCTATCTGGGGTGAGCATGATCCAAAGGAGATGACGCTCCGACTACCAAAGCCTCCAAGACCGCGGAAGCCAGGCCCACTCTTGCAGGAGACAGAGCTGGCCCGGAAGCGGTTCAGGTTGTGGGGGATCATTGCTGAGCAAGAGCTGAAGTTGCCCAACCGGCGACCAGAGCTGACTTGGTAGGAGCGGCAGGACATGATAGCTTCCTGGGTGAGAGCAAAGGAGTGACTGTAGAGTGGGGTGAGCTGGAGCTGAATCCCTCTGAGGCTAGTGGATCCCTCTCACCCCTTTTATGTGTACAGGGGCTTGAGGATTGGCCCATAAAAACAAAAAAAGCCATTTGAAGGCATTTATGAGCTTGGGTAGTTAGTAGAAACTCTTCATGCTTATAACCTCCTTAAGAATGAGCTAACTCAGACACACCTATTCTCATCAGGATGAGGGCTGTAACATCAAACCTATAAACATTAAAAACACATAAACACATAAACATTATAGTCCTATTTTTTCCCCATAAGTCCACCACAATTGCCATTATGGGGACATTAATTTGCTTTGGTCATAAATCCAGGAGGCCTTTTCACTGCCAGTGTGGCTAACCACCAGAAAGTTAGGATGGAAACAGTTTCAGCGAGAGGCTCACGAGGGATGAATCTGTGCAGATATAACCCCCTAAAGAGATGAGATGAGGAGGGTGTGTGCAGAAGAGAGGTAGGGTCTGCAAAAAGCCCCATGTAAGAAATGGTATGGGGAGGATACAGTTTATTGCTTCTCTGAAGTTGGATTAAATAATCAAAACACCTTTTGCAGTGTTTTATCTCTTCTCCATGATCTGGTTTGGCTGTTTACACAAGAGTTGAATCCATACCAAAGCTCATCTAGGCTAGTGTAGACACATCTCTGGTTTGAGACACTCAAAGGAGATTCATTCATTCATTTGACAATTATTGAGTGCCTACTCTGTACCCGGCAGTGTGCTTGGAACTGAGGGTACAGAGATAGAGTTTCACCACCTCATGGTGGTGGGGGAAGATGTATATTGAGGATTTCCACCATTCAACACTTTTGGGGCATGATTTGAGGTGAAAGCACCAATGATTTGGTCATGTTTCTGTGTGGAAAGTTAACCACGTGATTTTGAGCCCCCCAAACACACCATAGGGCTAATTTACAGTGCTGTCCCTGGATGTTCCTTGAATTATTGATGAATCTTTGGTTAGTATAGATATGGTGCAATAAGCATCTGGATAGAACATGAAAAGTTCTAAGCAACTGGATATTATCACTGTTATCAATATTGCAGCTTTTTCAGGACCCAGAGACAGGCTGGTGTTTATCTATTCTATTCTAGTGTGTGACATGCTTCGTCCTGCTTCGCCTGCGCCTGGAAGAACTTGTATTTGACTGAGTGCTTGAGATTCTTCGGGATGCTTGGGATCCTATTTAGAAGGGGTTGTGTGCTGATGACTGGAGGTATGCAGCTCAGGTGTGCACTAGTTTCTGTAGACCCGGCTATCAGTGTATGTTTAAGAGGAAGAAGCAGCAGGAAAATAACAAGAGAATACTTCTTGACAAGATTACTAGTGGCCTCTAACTGGCTAAATCCAGTGGTCTGTTCTCAGCCCTCATTTCACTTGATTTATCAGCAATGTTTGACATCATTGACCATGCCCTTTCCCTTGAAACACTTTCTTCTTTTGATTTCTAGACATCACACTCTCCCTATTTCTTGCCACTCTTTCAGTCTTCTTAGCCAGTTCCCCCTCATATCCCCAACCTCTAGACACTGCAGTGTCACTGGGCTTATCCGTATCTACTCACTCCCTTGGTGATATCATACACATGCATGACTGTAAATACTATCTATCCATTAATACACATTAATGCTAATATACCAAAAGTTAATATGCCAAAGACTACCTCTTCTGCAGAGCCCCCTTGCACTTCGCACGTATATTTTAATCAATATCTCTATTTGGATATCAGATAGGCATCTCAAAATTAATATGTCCAAAACTGTCCTCCTAACTGTTCCTACTAAATGTATTCTACTTGCCAACCTCACTATCCCTGCGGTAGCTCAAACCAAAAACCTTACAGTCACCCTTTCTTCCTGTTTTTTTCCATGTCTCAGGTTGCATGCACTGGCAAATCCTGCCTTCAGAACACATCTGGCCTCCCACCACTCCTCACCACCCCACTGCTACCGCGCCAGCTGAGCCCACCGCTTCTCACAGGATCTATTGAGCCGTCCTCCCAGCCAGTCTCCTCGCTTCCTCCTTTACTGCTTTAGACTTTTCTTAACTCTACAGTCAGTGATCCTTTAAAACTGTTACATCATGCTGCTACCGCGCCAGCTGAGCCCACCGCTTCTCACAGGATCTATTGAGCCGTCCTCCCAGCCAGTCTCCTCGCTTCCTTCTTTACTGCTTTAGACTTTTCTTAACTCTACAGTCAGTGATCCTTTAAAACTGTTACATCATGTCATTTCTGTGCTGGAAGCCCTCCAGTGGCTTCGCACCCGACTCACAATGCCGTACGTGACCGTCTTGCCATCCCCTCCTTGCTTCACTGCCTTGTTTCTCTCTGCCTGTCCTACCGCTCCTGCTCCAGCCACTCAGGCATTCCTGGTTGTCTATCAGACAAGTCAGGAACTCTTGCTCCAGACACTCACCCACTTGCTGTTTTCTCTGCTGGGAACTTTTTTCCCTCAAATATCTACATGGTTGGGTCACTCAACTCTTCCGGGTCTTTGCTCATATGTTGCCTTCTCACCCCCTATTGAAAGCTCTCAGCCCATGCAGTCCCTGTCCCCTCCCCCGCTTCCTTCTCTCCCCATCACTTATCATCATCTGAAGTCCTCTCCTGCATGGACTTGCCA